GAGGTATAATAATGTATATTGCAGACCAACAGTAAAATAATCAGTAAAATTATCCATTCAAAACCAAAGTAAAAAGGAAGATAATAGGATAGCTAGAACTATCAGTGCAGTGTTTGCTTATTGCTTTCTGGTTTTATTTAGGTTATACTGAAAGTCAATAGACATCAAACAGTTTTTTGCAAATGTTTCTTCAAAATAGGTGGTGTGCTGACCCGGTGGTCCTGAGTTGTTTGAAAGGGAAGAGCATTGCAATGAGGTTAGTGGGTTGTGTGGGCTTGCTTTGTTTTGTTTTTCTCCGCACTGCTCATGACTTAAACCAGTTGAAAGAATGAAGTTTTTGAAGGTTTAATTAAGGACAAGTTAGCAGTGCTTTTTCTTCTTTCTTTGCTACCAAAAGTTCTCCTCCTCCTCCTCCTCCTCCTCCTCCTCCTTCTCCTCCCTCAGTGACTCCCTCTAACATTCTGTTTCTCAAGTTACATAGCTTACTTGGGGGCAGGGGGGGAACTGTGAAATGTCACTCCATTACCTTTGTTGGAATATGGAAATGCTGAAGGGGTGAAGGGGCTTCCAGATGGTTTATCCTGTGCCTCCTTACTTGGGCTTCCAGGACTGAAAAACTCTTCTAGAACTGCAGAAACTTGCAGAAAAAGCATAGTGAGATAGCGATTTATAGCTGTTGTTGTTCTTGTTCTTTTTTATGTTTTTTTTTTCTGTGATCTTTGATAGTGGTTTTTTTTTTACTTTCTCCATACATAGGTATCCTAGGAAGAGAAATAGCTTAATAGAGCTTCCTGAAGACTATAGCTGCCTTCTGAACCAAGCGTCTCAGTTTAGGTATGATGTGGTATGTTTAGTTGTCTTGCTACGTGCTTTGTCTTTTTGTGTTCTGGTAGTTACTCTAATACAAGACAAAATGGTATTACAGAAACAATTTTGCAGTCAAGTGAAGACCCTGTTTTGTTTATATTGACCAATACTAGCAGGTTGCCAGTAATACCACAGCTTGCTAAAAGTCACTTACACTTGATCAAATATCCTATAACCTGCTGGGCATTTTTTTCAGCAATAACAGTAACATTCTGGTTGTGCATTTTTCAGGTGCCCACGGTCTTCTGATGATGAACAGAAGCATCCAGTGTTGTGTTTATTCTGTGGTGCTATGCTGTGTTCCCAGAACACTTGCTGCCAGGAGCTGGTGAACGGGGAGGAGTTGGGAGCCTGTACTTCACACGCTCTGCAGTGCGGAGCTGGAGTCTGTATGTTTCTCAAGTAAGTAGCACATCAAAGCTCAGTGTATTCATGGGCAAAGGGAAGTAGGCCAAAGCCTTTCGAAGGCCAAAACCCACAGCGTGGTCAAAACATTTCCTGGCCTCTGAGATAAGGGCTGTTGCTTTTACTAAATCTTAGCTCAACCAAAAGGCTAAGTCCTTGATGGGAGTTGCACTGTAGTCTGCAGGTGGGAATAATTTCTGATTCCATGCTTTGTAGAGGGTTTACAGAGTAGCAAAAGTGTGAACCTAATTGGTACTGTTCAGTTTTGCTTCTGGATGGAGTTTTCCAGATAGTTTATGATACACATCCCGTTCCCTTACACTGGCATTTTCAAGTGAACTTCTGTGCGAGTTGGTATCGAATGATTATCTCGTGTGATTAATAACTCCATTAGTAACTGGATGTATTTTTTGTATTAGGAATGTGAAGGAAAATCATGTTTTTCTAGTATTTCTACTAGTATTTTTATTAGTTGAATTTCTACTTCGGCAATGGATTTTTTTTATAAGATTAAAAAAATAGTATCTCTGGATTATTTTATTGGAGGATTATTGTAACATTCTTAATAATGTTACCTTTTAATAATGAGGTTTAAAGAAAACCTTTTTTCCTTAGATTAAACTTAGAAATTTAGATTTAGAAGATTTTGTTTCATGCAGAATGCAATATCACACATAAATATAGTGTGTGGCACTTCTCTGAGTCTGTATAAACGGCAGTGTGTGCACAGGCTCCATGTGCCAGGGTTGGAATTTCTCCATCAATCGTGTGTCAAAATTACTCGGACTTCTTCTCACTGTGACTTTCCTTAATCATCCTTTACACAGCTTGGGCAACCTCAAGAGAAATAGTAGCCCAAAGAACCGAGTCAGCGTGAACAACACTCTTAGGTACCTCCAGGGAGTGCTGTCCTGCATAAGGCATTGAATTAAGCACCTAGTTACTGTAAACTGTTTTTTGTTTTTCTTCCCCACCCCTGCTCAGCAGGTATGAGCCTGCAGACTCCTTCTGCTGTGCGGGGAGAGGAGCAAGTGCTTCGAACTTGCTGGCTCGTCACAGCTGAGCAGAGTTCAGCATGTTTCCCATGTGAGAGATCTGTCACAGGCAGCCAGCCTTACCCCAGAGGGGACTGTGACAAGAAAAGCATGGTCAGGCAGAGTCATGAAGCTGCTGCAAAGTTAGGATTTACAGAAAGTTGTGGCTTATGGAAAAATACTTTATATTCATGGTGATGAAGATGGTGATATTTATTTTAAATGTAGCTATTTTCTCCTAAAGAATCAGGGAATGCAAAGTTGTCCTCATAGAAGGTAAAACCAGGGGATGCTTGTATCCTGCTCCCTACTTGGATAAATATGGAGAAACTGATCCAGGTCTGAAGTAAGTATATGTTTAACTTCTTTACTTCCTACATTTCCATTTTGACCCGTGTCTTTTTTGTACCCATTAGACAGTGTGTTGTCTCTGCTAGTGTGTTCAGTACTGCAATGTGTATCTTTACCTGGTAGACTTGTTTAAATTCCCATTGACAATTCTCCAGTCATGAAAGAGTCAAAAAAAATCTTTTTTTTTGATTCTCTTCAAGTCCGTTTCTTTTCACAAGAATACTTATATATACTTTTCATCAGAAATGTACAACTGCAACTACCAAAATGATAAAAGATGACTCTCATTTCTGAGATTACATGTTATAGAATTAATAGTTTTTTAATAAAAATCACACAATTATTTAATGTTTTCTGGCTATTTCTAAGAGTGTTGATGTTATCCTGCTAATAGAATAATTTATCTAAAAACATCCGTGTCTGACATGGGTGATATTCAAGCAGGAAGGAGGTGCAAAAGCAGAAGGCAGAGTGGGGGGACGGGGGGCAGTTGATGCTGTGACCTGCTTGCTGAGCCTCTTCCTTTCCCTTGCGGAGACGGGGCAATCCCCTGCACTTGTGCCGGGAACGGTACCGGAAGCTGCATCTGCTGTGGCAGCAGCACTGCATCATCGAGGAGATCGCCAGGAGCCAGGAAACCAACCAGATCTTCTTTGGATTCAATTGGCAACTGCTCTGAGTCCCCGCCCTGGGGCAGATTTCATGCCATGGACAGTGCTTTGGAAAAGGAAAGAAGGGTGGCAGTAAATAAATCACTATAAAATGGATTCTGTAGCTCAGTCGCATGACTGACAGTTTCTCTAGCTTGGATGTTTTACTGATGTATTGAAACGATCTCATTTCGTATGTTTTGCTTCTCTCTCTCTCCCACACCCCCCAGACAAAAGAGGAGACTCCGTATAATTCTGATCGAACATTCAATTCCAGAAGTATTTCTGGTTTTTTTTTGAGGTGTCGTAATTGTTTCACATGCTTTGAAGAGGACAGCTTCCCAAATTCTGCTCTTCACTGCGAATGCCAAATTTCTCTTGCTTCCTTGCCTTGAGAATATACCTACACAATATAACCAAAAAAAAAAGCGTCCTTCACTTCCTGGTTGGTTTTCCCAGGCCTCAACCTAATTTGGTTGCATTTTGTAGCACAATACTAAAGTGAAAGTGGTGTCAGGTCTCACACATCTGTTGTAGCAACAGTTGCAGATTCTTAGTTGTGCATAAGAAAACTGCACTCTGCTATATCCCAGCATTTAATGAAGTGTTTTCATTAGCATAAACCCTTTAAGAAAGGGGGGTAAGAAGTGCATGGGGAAACCGTCATCTTGCTTGCTGCAGCAAAAATAAACTGTGCTTGTTGCATTGCCAGAAATGCACTTTATCTGATTAGTTTGTTCTCTGTTCATGTTTTACGTCCTAGAAGATCTAGAACAAACTGTTTGGTTAGCTTGTGGTTAGTTTTACTGCTTTTACAGTTTGTCCCCTCAGACTTTCGGGGAGCTAAACAGGAAAATACTGCCGCAAGCTTTTAGTGTTGCTCTGCAAGTTCTGGAGGACCCAGGGACTTCAGTAAAACAGGTCTTTCAAAGCCATCACTGGACTAAAATCAAGGCCCAAAATAGCAGCTTTTAGAATATTATTATTATTTTAGAAATAAGCTCGTGTGCCCACGTTTAAGGGCTTTTCCACTCTTCACTCTGTGTAATAAATTTTGAGCCCTGCCTGTGTTCTAGGAGTGGCCTTCGGTGGTTCAGGGCCAGTTAGAACAGAAGGGAAAAACAGCCAGGTGGGAGGTGGCCGAGGCTGCATCTGCCCTTTAGTAGTTAATAGCATGTTGTGATTGAACTCTCCTTTACTGACAGGTGAGATTGCACTTCAGTTTGATGTTTTGCTGCTCTGTTTTCTGAATTTCAGCCATAAATACACTAGGGAACTTGTAACGTGACAGGTAAAAACACTTATTGAGGAAAACCCATTTCTGTGTAAAAGTCTGACATCATTAGCAGTACTCTAAACTTCCCTGCCATTTGGATTTTTGTGTCGTTTTAATGAAAGTTGCAAGGGGAGATTTTTGAAGTATTTAGTGAGTTACTGTCTGAGAACATGTTCGTGAATGATAACTTTTTTCCCCCATTTTCCTACTGGCCATATGTGTAAAACCTCATGGCTGTTATGTCAAATAGTGATTTTGGTTTAAATACAGTAATTGTTCTTCTAGTTTCTTAATGTCTTTAGAGTGCATATGAATGGGCTGAACAGCAGATGTAACTCAACTAAAGAAAGGAATGCAGATGGACTCAAGTGTTGCTTGGGTTTAAAATACTTTTATAACTTTTGCTCTACTCCTTCCTTGGCAATAGAAATAGTTACCATTGCTATATTTTTCTACTCTTCTGTTTCTTGAAATTAAGACAGCCCTCCTTATTTTGATTTTTTGAGATTTTTAAACATGACTATAAAACTCAAAAATTAATTCTGCTAGTCTTATCTAAAAGGCATTTGAAACATACAATGAATCTAGAAAAAACGTTCATAAACTTGCAGGGAGTGGAGGTCTCTAAGGTCGTCACACCTCTTGCTGACAGAGACACTGTATTAGGCTAACAAACCTATGTCTCACTTGTACCCAAGCTCTATTCACTTACCGTTTCCCTCTGAAGTTTAATCATTTATCAAAAACTTCCACTTACCTTGCACTTCAGACGCAAAAGTTACGTTATCAAGTAGGCAGCAAGATCACTTGATTTTGTGTTCAGTCTGATCTATATTATACAAAGATAGGAGCTGGTCTGAGCAAGTGAGCTT